TGCCAAAACTTTGGCTAATGAACTGTTAATTGACCAAAGACCCCCCAATACTGGCGGCTTAATTGCAGATAATGGGTTAAGCCGAAGCTCTTACCTATTTCTAACACTTGATTATGCAAAGGTCGAGGGTCTCGAACTTACTCCTAATTAATTTCCACACCGCAAAAACCAACAATCTGAGTCGCGGGCTTTCGCCCCGAGGATACACGTGCGACTTGCTCGCGCCAAATTTGACAACATTTACGAAAGGCCCACAAAAAATAGGTTTTATGGGATAGTCGAGATCTTAAGTACTCTTCAATTGACCAAAAATGTTGTAACAGTTTAAGTATACGAAAAACCAAGGCAGTATTCTAGATCGAACTATCATTGAGGGGCAAAAAAATAATCTTATTTCGAGGCCAAAAGTAATTTCGTAAAAAAAATTCTAAAAAAAAAATAATTTCTTAAAAAAATATTACAATTTTTTTACAAAAATTTCTATAAAAAATTGTTACCAAAAATATTCGATAGTTTGTTCTTTAGCCTTTACAAATTTTTTAGAATTTTTTTTCATTGCAAGATGATATAGCAAATTGTACAATCAAAATCCACATTCTTAAAATCCCTCATTAACTAAACACCTAGAAGAATCGTGATGCCTTGTGGGGAAGAGTGTTCGAAACTCTGGAGGCAGTGAAGGCAGATATTTGGGAAATGTATTGAAATATGTTTTCATCAATAATTACATTTGCCGTTGGCCGAGGAGACGGACGGCAGCTGCCACCTGGAGCCGAAGATCCGAAGATTCGGGGATCCAAAGAGAAGTTTGGGAGGTAGAAATGGGGGTATGGGTGAAATGGACTGGGGTGAGAGGGTAGATGCACCGCTCTAATGGCATTTTAATAATAGATTACGACGCTGGCGACGACAACCGTAGATTAAGACGGAGCTGCCAGAGAGATGCCCTGAGACAAATGATGTTTGCCACTAAACAAATTTCGCAGACTCTTTGGTATTTTCTTTTTTCTTTCATTTCATTTTTTTCTTTTTTTAAGTTTCTGTGTGACAGTTGACAGTTAGGAGAAGAAGCTGCAGAAGAGTGTCTTCGTAGACTGGGGTTACGAGACGAGAAGAGAAGCGACGGCAACTGAAATTGACTGGGAGTTGCGAGTTCATCGCAAAGTCTCGGCATTATTTGCATAATTCAACTTTAATACAAATTGGCAACTCAAACAATTTACGCTTGCATGGCCACACATTCACTTGGACACTTTTACACGGGGATGCGGATGTTAGAGATGGGTGTTTAAGATTTCTATAAAAATATTTGTATTAATAATAAAGTAATAAAAATAATAGAAATAGCCTAAAAATACCTTTAAAATTCTTGAATATTGAGTTCTAAATTCTTGTTGATCTCTAAGAAATTCCTATCATCTCTATGCTGAGAACTAAAAGCTCTGCAATTCTGTTTTTTTTTCATTTGGCTTGGCGTTTTTTTTAGTTTTTTTTGCCAGCTAATCATGCGCATGATCTTTGGGATGGATGCATGTGGGCACATTAGGGTTACCACCGGCACAGCCATCTCCTCGATTCCCGGACTCTCGGATTCCCGATTCTTGGGGACCCGGCTGGCTCTTCGTCTCACACTTGAGCACAATAAATTCCCATGACAACTAATTTAGCCAGCTTCTTGGCCGCTCTTTCGATCTTTTGCGATCGAAGTTTGCCTGCATTTATTTGCTGCACTTTTTTTTTTCGTACCCACCGATCGACTGGACGGTGTGTCTCATCTTTGCCGACTCTAGAATTTTTATTGACTTTGACTTGGTCTTTCAGTTCGAGTTTTCAGTTCGACTTGGGGCTCGGAGGCTCTGCATTTGGTCAAATTATGTGGACGGGCCTTAATGATCGTCTCTATGGAGATGCGATTGCCATTGCCACAAGTTGGCCAAAGTCACCAAATTCCCCACATTACGTATACGCCACGTGAGACGAGACGAATTGAATTGAACTGAAGTGAAGTGAAGAAATCGGAGGCCAGGAGAGCCACCACTCCATGCAATTAACCGCAAAGTGTCAAAGTCAAGGCAACGGGTACTGCTGCCACTGCCACGCCCACTTCGGCCCACAAGTGTGGCAAATAACAATTATTAACTTTTCTGCATACCCTAGATGGAGGTATACTAGATTCGGGGAGCTGGTTACCCAACTACTTCTTCAAAGATTTTATATGATAAGACTTATTAACTAGCACTCAAATTAAATAAAAAAAATTTCAAAACATACTAAATAAAAGTATTTTAATAATATAATATAATATAATATAATATAATATAATATAATATAATATAATATAATATAATATAATATAATATAATATAATATAATATAATATAATATAATATAATATAATATAATATAATATAATATAATATAATATAATATAATATAATATAATATAATTTAATATAATATAATATAATATAATATAATATAATATAATATAATATAATATAATATAATATAATATAATATAATATAATATAATAGGTATTTTTGGTATTTGTATTTATTTTGTTTCTTTAATGAAAAAAATACTACAGGAGGTATTTTTGGTATTTTTATTTATTTTGTTTCTTTAATAAAAAAAATACTACAAGAGGTATTTTTTTGGGTTCCATAAATAAAATTCAAGGATATCTTTAATGATTTAAAAAAAAATATTAAGTGTATTATTAAGAGGTTATTATTGTAAAATATCCTTCAGAATTCAATCTAAACTAAAGATATAAAATTAAGAGGGTACTTTAAGTTCCAACAAACTTTTCTTTATTTGTTTCTTGTTTGGTCAGGATCAACTTGAGTAACATGAGGAACATTGACGCCAACAACATGGAACAGCAATCTAAACAAATGGCCTACACCAAACGAATGGCATAGCCTAAGAAACCCTGGCCGTGAGTTGTTTTTCACTTCATGTAGGATACGATACATGGGTGTTTTTGGCTTTTTTCCTGTATTTTTGTTGTTTTTTTTTTTCTTTAACAACCGCGGGCGTAATGCGGATGACATTGACGCGCGCCAGGCGAAGCCATCCATCTGAAGATTGGAGCGTGGAGTTGGGACCTGAATTTGAATCCCGTCTGTCAGGCGGAGATTGCTGCCGCAGTGCGCCCCTGGCCCCTGTAATTTAACACCCACGCCAGCCTGTCAGGCAGCTCGGTTGCCGATCCCCCCCGCAATCTGCCGGCCCAACGCCACTGGCCTGAATTTGAATTTAGCATGTGGCAACGTTTATTATCAGGTGTCGTCGCTTTTCAATCATTTTGTTGTGTGCTGCACACTTCACTGGAGGAAAATTGTTTTTAATTGCTTAAGCTCTCGTATAAGACACTGTAAAAATAATTTAAATTCAGGTGAATACCTGAAGAAATGTTTGATATTGGTTTAAAAATAGGTATCATGCTCAAGGAATAATTTGTAAAAAAGTTTAGAAGTAGATTTAAGTTGATTAAATATAAAAAGAAAATGATTTATCCATTGGTGATTAATAATAATCCATAAAATAGACTTTCAGATCCATAAGATATATAATATATTTTTTATATTACATTAAAAATAGTACTAAATAAATATTCAAATATGTGAATAATATACTGAAATATTATTTTAACAGTTTTATATTTTTAGGGGATTTATTATCTCACTCTATAAGAGTAAACCTTTTTCTTTACAGTGTAGCTGCCTCACATCTGCCTCACGAAAGGCGGAAGCAGAGCAAAAAGTAAACAATTTGGCCAATAATTTGTCAATCAAGAATTAACGATCGCACAGAGCATATATTGAATGTGGAATCGGGTGATCGGTTGATCGGGGGGGTATGGAGGTACTCCTATTGGGGTGGGGCGATTACTCCTTTATTGCGATAAAGCTAAAGATTTTATGAGCGAGTTGCCAGCAAGTTGTCAGGCATAGTAAAGTTACATAACTGCAGTTTAGAGCACGCGACATTTTGTCGCAAGTTTACGGTCGACGACAGTCAACAAATGCAATGCCATAAGGCCCCAAAGATCTTGAACGCCAAGAAGAAGAAGATGAAGATGAGGTAACTCCCCCCAGCAGGAGCATCATCATCATCATCATCATCATTATCGTGATCATAGTCATCCCAATACCAATACCAATACCCATCCCAATCCCAGCGAAACGAAACGAAACGAAACTGGAGATGCCCAGCACTGCGATAAGCCCCTGAATTATGATTAGACGACAGTCGTATATATATATACACAAATGCTATATATGAGATGGGACTATTTTTGGGGTGGGGTATTCACTTTGTCTGCCTTTTGTTGCATCAAATTATGAGGCAATAAAACAATTCACAATGAATGAGTAATGGACAAATGTGACCGCGAGATCGGAACCCAAGTTCCCAAAAGTTATTAGACAGGAATTAGTTGATGTTTAGCCAACAAAGAACTCTATTAAAGTGGGGGAAAATCTTTAAAGAGTATTGGTTTATAAAAAAAAAGGTTTTTTTATGGGTCGTCTTGAACCATCTTAAGATAAATTATTGCTAAAATATGGCTACATTCTGTTAATGTCTATAAATAAATTCACTTGCTTTTCATTGACTGCACACAAAATTTTGTTTTGTACGTGCTTTTGTTTTTATCAGCCTCATTTTCCGACGCTTGGCTGCATTTTCATTTTCTTAATCAGTCAAAAAGCGCAAAAGATGATCAAGACGACTCACGAAGAAGAAGCAGCTGATGATGATTATGATGAGGAAGAAGATGAGAGGCACACCGTTCTATGGAGTAATTATTCCTATATAATATTGTATATACACATAGATATGACTTAGTTGGGAAGCAATGAGCATGGCAAGTGCTCTGCCCTTGCAGTAATGGCAAGTTAGAAGAGTATTATATAATTTAAGCCAGGTTTATGCCCTGTTAAGGCAAGGGTCTATTGGGCAAACTTGGGATTATGTAAATAAAGATAAATACCTTTTAAAAACTGTTGTACAGGTTCTCAGTTGGATGTAATATTTTCTTTATATCGGGAATTTTGATTTCTTTTTTCTAGAAAAATGTAGATCCTTGATCCTGTAAATATAAAGATATAAATGTAGTTATTAAAAGTTTACTATCTACTTCGGGCTTAACCAGAGGTTAAGAGTTAGACCCTAAAAAATATTTGTTATGCTGTTAATATATTCCAATATTTTCCGACTCAGGGTGTTCTATAGTCTTATATTTTAGGCCTTTCCACCTGCTTCGCTCCGCTCATTTTCGTTGGTGCTGTATGATTTATGATGCTTGAAAGATAAATTCTGGTAAAGCTCTTGTTAACTGCGGCTGTCAATAGTCGCTCGACTCATGTGAGAGGTGCTATGACTGCTGGCAGTCATTCGTCTATATAAGATAGTATACTCCCCTGATAATGATAATGATGTTATGCCCAGTGTCAATGCTCTGTAGCGGTGAATTTGCGTTAATACTGCTTCTGATTCTAAATATTTCTTCACTGTCAATGCCTTTTCTTTTCTTAGGTTCTTTGTTTTTTGTGGAAACTCAAGTATCCCACTTGCTAAATGTTGTCGTCGTCCCACTCTGGAGCACATTACGTATACGCCATGCTCGCCTTGTATTATACAACCGTGAGTTTGTGTGTGTCTGCCCAAAAGGCAGCCTTATGCTATAATTTCAAAATCTAAGAAAATTGATAATCTACAATTGCCGCAGAACGCAAGCTACTATGTGCTATTACAGTTGTGGTAGCATTGCTAATATCGCTTTGGTTTTGAAAGGATTTGAAGTTAATTTTTAACCTTAGGTTAAAAAAAGTTTGTATGTAACTTATAATTATATATTCTACCTCTTATCTACACTTACCCAATGTTCTTGGCATATTTATAGATGGCTATAGTCAAGTTTGTCTTTATTGTACTAAAAGTTATTTTAACCTTTGGTTAAATTATATATTCTCCCATAGTTTCATTTTTAACCTACGGTTACATTTTTTTTTTCATAAATGCAATGCTTGACCACCGCTTGTTCCGTGTTTTCACTTGAACATTTTGGTTGCACACAACCCACGGTCGCTGGCTAAATTGTAATCGTAGTTGTGGTCGCCGTTGTAGTTGCAGTCATGCCTTGAATTTTGCTTTGATGGTCGCCGCATTCGCATAAATCAATAAAAGTGCAGCCGCTGAAGAAGAGGAAGAGCAGGAATAAAGAAGCAGCAGCAGGAGCAACAACAATTACAACTACAAGAACAACATCAGATGTATCTAAAGAATACCAGGCGAAATTTCCCTGCCTTGACAGATAAGGAATAATATGGTGGAGGCTAGATAAAATAGATATCAGCTGTAATAAATTTTTAGATGGCGGAAGGCAACATAATTTTTTGCCTAATCGCATTTAACCATATATTTTGGTTTATATTATTTTATGTCCATTTCTTTCTTCTTATCTGAACCTAAGAATTTATTTCCAGCCCATTTCAGAAGCTTGGAAAACTTAATGATCTATTATGGTTAATGAGTTTCGGTTTCAGAAACAACATATTGCCATTTTTACGAGCTGGAATCTCGTGACAGACTAAACTTTCTTCCTTCCAACAGCCGATAAGAATCACATCAATATGTTTTAAATGACATTCGACGATCGAAATAAAAATTGACAGAAAACCATAAGATCAAAAATCAACAATATGCACAGATGTCTGTGAAGGTGGGTTCCATAAATTTTCATTAGAAAAGCAGGCGGCAGCAGCCAAATGATAAGAAACTTTATGACCGTCGTTGATATAAAACCTGGCTCTAATTGAAAATAAAAACTGAAAAGAGCAGGCATTTTTAAAAACGAAATGAAATTTAAATAATTTTGGATGAAAACTCTGTTTTATTATGTAGAGCATCAAAGTGGTATAAAAAAAAGGCAAGCTAAGGGAATGGTCATAAAGAAGACTATATCTACATTTATTGAATTAATGCATCTCTTTGGCCGACTGTACACAAACAAAAAAATTGAAAATAAATTATTTAATTATTATTTAATTTATAATTTAAAAAAGTGTTAGTAAACTGTTTTAAAGTAGTGTATATAGTATCAAATTGAACCAATACTAAACATTAAAAAAGAAGAAATCATTTTTAAAATAAAAACTTAGTTAAATAATGCTATAATAAACAAGTTTATCTTTTGTTTCAACTTCTATTTGTGGCTAAATAAATAAAGTTTTAAATCAAGTAAAGCTAAAAGTCAACAGTATTTTCCTCAGTGCAAGCCTGCTTATTGGCCTCTCTTTCGCACTCTGTGTGTGTGGTATTTAAGTTGATTTTTTTCGGTTTTAATATTCGAGCTACCGTTAGAATCAACAGCGAAAAGTAGTGTGGAAAATTCGTGGAAAGGGGCAGGGAAAATGCTAAGGGGGCGGCGTCAAAGTCGACGCTTCGCCAACGCCGGCGTCTCTTTGGTAAAACATTAATTAAATTAATTAACCAACTCGTGCCAAGAATTTCATACCGAAGGAGATGAGCAGCAAACCAAAAAAGAACACATCTATGTACGGTGGAGTCGGTGGCAGTCAGTCGTATATATATATTCCAGACATCGCTTTGGAACGCATAATTAATGCGCTCAGTGCGCAGAACCAGATTAAAGTGCTCCTTGCCTTGCCAGATATATATGTATATATACTATACTACCTACCTCCATATATCGCTTCATATAGCACCATCCATAGGTGGTTGCTGCTAAGTCAGTCATCTGTGTTGAAAGATCGGATCCCTACGTCTTCCGGCAATTGAAAATGATTCATTCAATTAAATTATGGCGAGTTGAGTGGGTTTTACTTTTATTGCTACTTTTCCCGGAATTAATTTATTAAAAGGGGTAAATATAGGGTGGCCAAAGTGTATTATTTTCAAAATATATATATTTCTAAGCTTGTTAATGAAGTTCCTTATGCAACGTTTAAAAATTATTTTTGAATATAATTTATGGATGCTTATGATCCACAAAATATATTTTTTTAATTTAAATTGTCATTGACTAATATAATCCGTTTTGCCGGAATTAATTAAAGGTGAAGATGGCAACCCTGTTGTTATTCCAAAATATATATGTATATTTCTTAACTTATAATAGAAGTTCCTAATGCATAGTTTGTAAATTATATTTGAATAATATTTATGGATGCTTATGATCCACAAAAAATATTTTTTAAAATGTCAATATCCATTAACTAATCTAATCCGTTTTCACATTTAATTAGTACCATTTTTAATCCATCATATCTAAACCAATTTGGGCCTTTTATTCACCGCTTCTTTAGCGTTAGGGCCAATTAATCTTGGCCAACTCGAAGATGCCCCTGAATAGGTTTTCCATATCCGTTAGCAGTTCGGAATGTGAAACCCTGACAAAAACAAAAAAAAAAAGACGCCGACACGTGCCAAGCGATCAACACAAGGCATCGAGACATCAATCAATTGCGCTGATTGAATGCATTCGAAACCGAAAACCCCAAGAAAATAAAGAAAGGGGGGGAGCTGCGAAAGTAAATAAAACAAAAAATACAAGAAAGGCAGCCTCCAACAAAGTGTGAAGTTGGATATAAAGTGGCGCTTAATTGCGAGCGATTAATGAAGCAAGAATTCCCATTCCCAAAATCCAATGCCCAATTTTGAGGCGCCCAGGGCAATTTTTTTTTCTTTTTTTCCTAGTGTATCCGAACCGCTGTCGTCGCCTGTGTCAGGTGTCATGTGTCAAGTGTCAGGTGTCAAGGCAAGGGGCAAAAGTTTAACGGTTCTCCCAGCCACCAATCAACGCGAGAAAAAAATAAAGAAAAAAAAACAAAGCACCAAATGAAAAACGAAACAATCCAAAAAGTTTACAACAAAATTAAAGCGAAAATCGCCGGCAGCCAAGTGGCCAACGAACTCCGATCGATTAACAATCGGAAGGTCGCCTTCGTCATGAAAATATATACCTTTAAATCCAATATATGGGTACAAAAATAAAGCTAAAACAAAGAGCAATATCAAGTGCAATAAACCATAAACTGATGGAATCCCAAATTGAATATAACTATTAAGGAAAACTGCAAAAAATAAACGAAAAACGAAAAGTGCGCAAAAATACTGGGCCGTAGACCCAACTTATAAAATACCCTGGAAATCAGAAATGGGTTTTGTTTATCTAAATTTTTAGATGAACTTTTACTAATGATATGCTAAATATATAATTACCTTTTTAATGAAGGATTATGTCTCCTTAAGTAACAATACTATTATTATTAAAATTAGTTTCTTACACCCCAGTTTTTATTTGACTTTTCACATTTATAAGCCGAGGCTGAGATCATTATTATCTTGGGGGTATTTCTGTGACGATCATGTCACGATCTTGGTGGGGGATTACGAAGAACTTAAGCTTTTAACGTGAGGATTTGAAAGATATCTTTTTGATCTTTGTTTGGACACCGGTCATATTTATTTTTATTTTAGATGTCATACAAATATTTTTTTTACAAATACCATAACTTCGAATGTTTGGGTTTCCAGAATTACTGGCTGATACTCTGTAATCACAAAAATCTGGCACAATGTGCGCATATTGAGCGACTCTTTCTGCTTCCGATTCCACATTTTGGATTCTCCAATTATCCGATTCTTCGTGACACAATTCCTAAAATAAGGAACGGGGGGGGCGACGGAAGTATCAGACTTTGTTGCCCATCGATTAATATGGAGAACGAACAGCACTTGCCGCAAATGGTGTGTCAACTTCCGATCATATGTACGTCTATATACAAAAATAATCGAAAATCGAATAAGCCGGCGAAGAGAAGAAGAACCCAAACCAAACCATAAATCAGAAGAGCGCATGTTGACAACACTGGCAGCATGACAATTGCCACCTGCCGAGCTGAAAGGAAATCCCATTAATGACAAAATCAATAAATTCATATTTCCATCACAAGCAGACGGCACAAAAAAAAAAATATACAAATCGAAGAGTTATACACAAAAGCGAACGAATCGGGCAGACAGAATGCCGTTAAATCAGCGTTTTTAAATACAATATTAAATTAA